ATGAAAATACAGACTGCTCTCCAAATGCAACACATGAGTTAGATATCATCTTTGTCCTCTGGGCTAATCCAGTATAATGTGGAAATGCTGTTTGCATGGTAATCACAATCTTTGTGGAAGAGGAAAACCCTATCATATAATCTTTTTTTTTTTAAGATTTTATTTATTTATTTGTCACAGAGAGAGACAGTGAGAGAGGGAATACAAGCAGGGGGAGTGGGAGAGGGAGAAGCAGGCTCTCCCCTGAGCAGGGAGCCCGATGCAGGGCTCGATCCCAGGACCCTGGGACCATGACCTGAGCTGAAGGCAGATGCTTCACCGACTGAGCCACCCAGGCGCCCCCCCCAACTCAGTTTATTGCAAAAGTTATCCTTTCCCCACTTCTCTGCCACACTCCCCCTGTTATATGTCAGGCATCTGTGTGTGTGTGTGTAACTGCCAATTTGTTTTTCAGGAATTTCTTGGCTATTCTTTATTATTTTTTAACAGTTTAATAAATAAATCAGCATTATCATAAGTTATACTTGTTTGAAGTATACAGTTTGAGGGACGCCTGGGTGGCTCAGTTGGTTAAGCATCTGCCTTCGGCTCAGGTCATGATCTCAGGGTCCTGGGATTGAGCCCTGCATCCAGCTCCCTGCTCGGCGAGGAGTCTGCTTTTCCCTCTCCCTCTGCCCCTCCCCCTGCTTGTGCTCTTGCTCTCTATCAAATAAATAAATAAAATCTTAAAAAATAAAGTATACAGTTTGATAAATTTTGACATATACACACCCATAAATCATCACCACAGGGTAATGAACACATCCATCACTCTAAAAGTTTCTTTGTACCTCGTCATTATCCCTTTCATGCCCCCACCAACCACTGATCCGCATTTCTATCACTGTAGATTACTTTGCATCTTCTAGAATTGTATATAAATGGAATTATACAGTATGTGTTCTTTTTTGTCTGGCTGGTATCTTCTGGTTAGCATACTAATTTTGAGGTTCATCTGGCTGTTTTTTTTTTTTTAAAGATTTATTTATTTGAGAGAGAGAATGAGAGAGAGCACATGAGAGGAGGGAGGGTCAGAGGGAGAAGCAGACTCCCTGTTGAGCAGGGAGCCCGATGCGGGACTTGATCCTGGAACTCCAGGATCATGACCTGAGCTGAAGGCAGTTGCTTAACCAACTGAGCCACCCAGGCGCCCTGGCTGTTTTGTTTTTTTTTTTAAATCAGTAGTTCATTCCTTTTCCTTGATGAGTAGTAGTCCACTGTGTGGATGAACCATTTTGTTTATCCATTTACCTTGATGGATATTGGTTTGTTTCCACTTTGGGGCTAAAACTGCTGTGAACATTTGTGTACAAGTCTGTATAAACATATGCTTTTATTTCTTTTGGGTAAATACCTCGGAATAGTATGGCTGGGGATTATAGGTGGAATGCTTTAACTTCTTAAGAACCTGACATACACTTTTCTAAAATGCGTGTACTATCTTGTACCTCTACCAGCAATGTATGAGGGTTCCAGTTTTTCCACATCTTCACTAATGCTTGGGCATTATGCCTTTTTTGATTACAACCATCCTGGTGGGTGTAAAGTGGTATCTCTTGGTTTTAATTTGTATTTCCCTAATGATTAATGATATTAGCATCTTTTCATGGGCTTATTTTTGCCATCCATCTATCTTTGATGAGGTATCTGTTCAAATCTTTTCTCCATATTTTTATTGGGATGTTGGTTTTCTCATTACAGAGTTATGAGTGTTCTTTATATATTCCAGATACAAGTTTTATATCAGATAAGTGATTTGCAAATATATTCTTCTCTATAGCCTTTTATTCTCTTAACAGTAAAGAACAGAAGTTCTGAACCTTGAAATGTAATTTATCGACTTTTTTTTTTGTAGCTCTAGCTTTTGGTATCATGTCTGAGAATATTTTCCTTATCTAGGATCACTCTAGACAATATATAGGTTTAGATTTTTCATTAGGTCCATGATTCATTTTGATTTACTTTTTGTATATGTTGCAAGATAGGACTCCAGGTTCTTTATTTGCATATGATACCTAATTGTGCCCACATGTTTTGATGAATAGACTATACTTCTCTACACGGAATTGCTTTTGCACCTGTTTCAAAAATCAGTTGACTATATGTCTGTTTCTGAACTCTTTTTTTTAAGATTTTATTTTTAAGTAATCTCTATCCCCAGTGTGGGGCTCGAATTCATGACCCTGAAATCAAGAGTCACATGCTCTTCCCACTGAGCCACCCAGGTGCCCCTGTTTCTGAACTCTTTGTTTTCTTTTTTAAGTTTTTTTTGTTTTAGTTTTTAAGTAGGCTCCATGCCCAGCGTGGAGCCCAGTGCGGGGCTTAAACCCACGACCCTGAGATCAAGACCTGAGCTGAGATCAAGAGTTAGATGCTCAACCGACTGAGACACCCAGGCGCCCCTGAACTCTTTGTTAAGAGGATTTGTCAATCTTTGTGCTAGTATCACACTATTTTGATCACTGTAACTTTATAATAAGTCATGAAATTAGGTAAATCTTACAACTTTGTTCTTTTTCAAAGTTGATTTGAGTGTTCTGGGTACACAGCATTTTCATACAAATTTTAGAATAAGCTTGCTGCCAATGTCTACAAAAAACCTGATGAGATTGTTGACTGGGACTGCATTGATCCATAAACCATGTTTAGGTTTCTTTTAATTTCTCTCAGCAATGCTTTGTAGGTCTTGTACATCTTATTTTTGATGCTTTTGTAAATGGTATTTTTAAATTTCAATTTCTAATTGTTCATTGCTTATATATAGAAACACAATTGAGTTTTGTATATTGCTCTTTTATACTGCAGTCTTGCCAGAGTCACTTACTAGTTTGCAGAGTTTGGAGGTCCCCTCATGTTTTTTAATTTCCTGGGAGGATATTTGCCTTTATGCTTTCCCCCTGGAATCCCTTCTCCACAATGTAGCCAGAGTCATCTTTTAAAGTGCAACCCAGGGGTGCGTGGGTGGCTCAGTTGATGAAGTGTCTGCCGTCAGCTCAGGTCATGATCCTAGAGTCCCTGGATCCCTGCTTGGCAGAGAGTCGGCTTTTCCATCTGCCCCTCCCCCTGATTGTGCTCTCTCTCAAATAAATAAATTTAAAAGATCTTAAAAAAAATTAAAGTGCCACCTGAAAGTTTTAAGGGATTTGCTCAAGACCACAAAATTATTAAGTGGTAGAGCCAAGATTTGAATCAGGGTCTTTCTGAGCCTATGCTCTCTGCTTATATCATGTAAGAGTGGGAAGGAGGATCCCAAGGTAAGTAGGATCTGAACATTATTAGAAGTACATGTTTGTGTGCATTTGACAGCCTGTCAACTTGTCTGTTGTTGGTTTGGTTTTTGTAGGTGCACGGGTTTCATATTCCAAAAGGTTGGAAAGTTGGCTGCAACAGCTGTGGGAGGTGGATTTTTTCTCCTTCAGGTCTGTATGTGAAATATTCCTAGATGTTTGGAAATCCCCCTTGCCCATTAAGAATGTGGTATGAGGAGCTTTAATATAGTCTTGGCTATATTACACTAGAATAGCCTTTGCACTTATTTTCAGTGTACTATTTGAAATGCTGGTGACCATTTGAATCAAATTTCATCAGTTAGTAGTCACATTTTGTTTCATAATCTATAACATGGGGACATAGTACATATTCCTTATCATAGCTCCTTTGGGTTTTTAAGACCACTTGAAATGTTAAACAAATGTGATTTCAAAAATATGAAGTGTTATGCAAATGCCCTGTGATAGGATTTATTTTACATAGGGGACATTGATCCCAGAGCAGTCAGTGAGAAATGAGGGCTAAATGACAGTCCAATCTGATGTCCTCTTTTGTCTGTTTGGCCCAGAGTTTATTTCAGAACTACTAGGTATCGGTTCTCTGAAGCTGCATTGTAGCATTGCTTTGCAGACTTGACTCCATGTTGGAATTACCTAAGGAGTTTAAAAAACACTAATGCTTGGGGCCTGCCTCGTACCCCCCGACACCTGATTTCATAGGTGGAAGGTGTGCTTGCACATCTAAGTATTTTTTTAAAGATTTTATTTATTTATTTGACAGAGAGAGAACACAAGCAGGGGGAGCAGCAGAGGGAGAGGGAGAGGCTGGCTTTCCACCGAGCGGAGAGCCTGATGTGGGGCTCGATCCCAGGACCCTGGGATCATGACCTGAGCCGAAGGCAGACGCTTAATGACCGAGCCACCCAGGCGCCCTCACATCTAAGTATTTTTAAACTCCTGAGATGATTCTGATGTGGAGCAGAGTTTGAGAACCAATGTTCTGTAGGAGCCATAACTTTTTGAATTGTGCCACAGTCTCCGAATTCATAGCCCTTTGTCTCCTACAGTTGACAGTCCTCATTTTAGTGGGGTAAGTGCTATCTTCGAACCGCAGGTGGAGTGATTTTCCCAGATGGCTCGGGTGAAAGTTAAATGTGTAGGAGGAGGAGGCTGGTGACTGGCACGCCGCGGTGGTGGCCAGGGCTGGGGCAAGTTCGTTATAGCATTGCCACACAACAAATTCCCTCAAAACCTAATCTCAAAATAACCATCATTTTATTATCTCTTAACAGTTTCTGTGGGTCAGGAATTTGGAGAGGGTAAGGTGGGTGGGTGCCTGTGGCTGCAGGTCTAATGTAGTTACAGGCAGGAGGTGACTGGAGCTAGATAAGCAGAGTGGGCTGGGGCAGGTCTGGGCCTCTGTCTGTCCCTCTGGCAGGTCAGACTCCCTGCAAGGCAGAGGCCCTCCTCACACGTTTCCCTGTCCTTCCAGGTTGCAGTAATCTTTCCTTCCTCTCACCCCTTCAGGCTGAAGTGCAGTGACAGCACTGTTTCTGGTAGACCCACAGTCTTCCATCCCTGTGGTTTCCCCTACACCCTGCTTCCTACTTGACTTTGTAAATATATTAATGTTACTTTGAAATATCTTTTTTCTTTCACCTTAAACTTTTTTTTTTTTTTAAAGATTTTATTTATTTATTTGGCAGAGAGAGACACAGCGAGAGAGGGAACACAAGCAGGGGGAGTGGGAGAGGGAGAAGCAGGCTTCCCGCGGAGCAGGGAGCCTGATGTGGGGCTTGATCCCTGGACCCTGGGATCATGACCTGAGCCGAAGGCAGCTGCTTAACCGACTGAGCCACCCAGGCGCCCCACACCTTAAACTTTTTTCACTTGAAGTATAATTGACAGACAATATTAGTTTCAGGAGTACAACATAGTGATTCAATATTTATATACATTACAAAATATCTTTTTTTTAAAGATTTTATTTATTTATTTGGCAGAGAGAGACACAGCGAGAGAGGGAACACAAGCAGGGGGAGTGGGAGAGGGAGAAGCAGGCTTCCCACAGAGCAGGAAGCCTTATCCGGGGCTCGATCCCAGGACCCTGGGATCATGACCTGAGCTGAAGGCAGACGTTTAACGACTGAGCCACCCAGGCGCCCAGACATTACAAAATATCTTAATCTGAGTATACGCTCTGTTTCTTTTGGGGGCTCTGACTGACAGAAGCAGTTGGTACTGGAAGTATCACCAGGAAAGATTCTCAAAATGGGATTCTGGTATTGCATGAGTCAGATATTCAAGGAGTACAGGGATGCCTCCTTGCTAGGGGAGGTGGGTGGGACCTGGGGAGTCAGTGCTGTGCACTCATGCTGTTGGTCACCAGAGGGAGGAGGATGGCGGGTAGGCATGATGTCATTTGACGTAGGGATCCAGTTTCCTTTCTTTCATACTGATACTTGTCCTAGCAGCATTTAGTGAATGTCTTCCTTTTCCCAATATTTGTAGTGTGGCATTTATCATATATGTCTGGATCTGATTCTAGTTTCTCTATTCTGTTTCACTGGTCCACTTTCTACCTTTACTAAGCCTTGATAGTTGGTATTACAGGTTCCTCCACTTACCCTTCAGGAGTGCTGTGGCTGCTTTTATACTTTTTGCTTGAAGAGGCTTGTCAATTATTTTAAAATATTTTATTGAAATTTTGATTGGAATTACATGGAACCATATAGGTAAATGTGGGAAGAATTAATATCTTTTGTGAAAATGAGTCATCTGTGAATATGTGCTTTCTCTCCATTTATTTTGGTCTTTAATGTCTTCGCATAGACTTTAAAATGTTTCTTCATACACATCTTCTACACTGTGCCTTGATTTCATTCCTAGATACCTTATACCTTCAGTTACACTGGGGCTTTCCTTGGCCACTCACCCTCAGCCCCAAGCCTGTCTTCCAGTTGGACTCAGAATGATACAACTAGTAATAGGGAACATCTTTTCATATGCTTTATGACTGAGCCACCCCAGTGCCCCCCACATATAGCCTTTTTGGCAACGTGTCTATACAGGTCTTTTGTCCATTTTTTTAAATTGAGTTATCTGTTTCTGTACTCTTTATTTTGTTCCATTAATCTGTGTGTCTGTCCCTTCTCCATTATCACACTGTCATCTTCATTGCTGTAGCATTATAGTAAATCCTAAAATCTGATAGTATGATTCCTCCAACTGTTCTTTTAAAAAATCATTTTGGCTGTTTTAGGTCTTTTGCCTTTCCATGCACATTTTAGAACCAGCTCGTTTGTATATCTGCAAAGCATTCTGCTGGGATTGGGATTGCAGGAACTCTGTAGCTCAACTTGGAAAGAATTGGACTTCATTTTAAGTCTTCAATTCCATGTATAGGGCCTGCCTCTCCATTTATTTGTTCATCTTCAACTTCTTCAGCATTTTGTGGTTTTCAGCATGCAGATCCTATATGATTTTTGTTTAGATTTGTATCTAGTATTTATTTTACAGCTATTATAAATTTTATTTCCATTTCCAGTTGCTTCAGTTGCTAGCAAAAAGAATGCAATTGATTTTGCGTGTTGATATTATATGTTCTGCAACCTTGCTAACCTCACTTTTTCTTCTTCTTCTTCTTCTTTTTTTTTTTACAAATGAGGCAGTATATTAACCCAGCATTTGTTCTAATGCTTCTTGGTGGCAGCTGCCCCCTGTCCAGCGATTCTGTCCAGATCCCTGTGTCCCTGAGGTGTCAGTTCACAACCCCCATCTTGGTCCTTTTCGTCCATTTTCAGCCCCACTAGGGCTTGGAGGACCCCGCGGACCATGTTCTTGGAGCCTCTGCTGAAGTGGCCAGGAATGACCCCGTTTCTCTGATGTCCCCTGTGGATCTTGGTCATGGAGCCAACCCCAGCACCACCCCAGAGGTGCAGTTGCCGTGCTGTGGAAGCAGCTCGGGTGTAGAACCAGTTCTCATCGTAGGGAGCAAGCTCTTTATGTTTGGCCAGCCTGACAGGGTCCACCCATTCAGGGACTTTCAGCTTCCCAGGCTTCTTGAGTCAGGCTGCCAGAGCTCTGACAAACTCCTGCTGGTTCACGTCTTCTACAGGGACTCCAGGCATCGTGCGGCCTCCGCCAGCCAGCCTAAACTCGCTTGTTAGATACAGGAGTTCTTGTTCGTTTTTTGGTTGGATTCTTTGAGATTATGTAGACAGACATGTCTATGAATAGCAACAGTTTGGCTCCTTCCTTTCTGATCTGGAGAACAGTTTCACTTTTTATGAGTAGTAATGTTTTGTTTATTACCTATATTGCAAATATTTTCTCCATCCTGGTTTGGGTGACTGATGAGTTGATGGTGCCATTAACTAAAATAGGAACTAGAGGAAGAGCAACAATGCAGGAGGAGACTGTAGAGAGAAGAGTTTTAGTTACAGATATTTTGAGAAATTCAGATAGGTATGACTTACCAAAACTTGGGTGGAGAGAAGTGATATTGATGAAGATTGATTGATGGGCTGTAATGAGTCTCTTTACTTCCTTGGATAACAATCCATCAGAAAACAACATACTTAAATAAGTTTTATCCTATTCACATATTCTCAGTAAAATTGTTTTCACTGAGTTTTAGTGTTTATGCCTGCTGTCTTCATGAAGGGAAGTGGGCATATTCTATACATATATTTGGATGTATTTCTCTCAGTACCCCTTATATGAAGTTGTTCCTGAGAAATCTCTGTGGGGCCATGTATTAGAAGATTCCTTTCTGAGCTGACATTGATTATGTTGGCTGTAAGGTCTGTAAGGTTTCTTCACCTCACGTCTTGACTTTCAATTCTGATTTTCTTCTTACCGTGTTATATTTTTAAGCTAACTTAAAACTTTCTAGAGAGGGATAAGAGTATATATAAGAGTAAAAGAATTGCCAGCAGTCATTGAAGGCCAGTCTATCAATCTGGCATCAGGCATAGGGCCTTACATGTTGGGTGGATACTGAGTAGATGTGGAGTGAATGTCATTGTCATGCAATGAACTGGATAGCAAATGTCTCAAGAAATGGAAAGTCAGAAGGGTTTTTGATAATGTGCTTCAGTGATTTAATCATAATGAACAGAAATAACAAGCCTCTGTTTCTTATTTTTTGCTGTCATTATTGAAACTATAGCTTGCAAGCCATACTGGGTACATCAAGGTTGACTGGCAGCGAGTAGAGAAGGACATGAAGAAAGCCAAGGAACAGCTGAAGATCCGTAAGAGCAACCAGATACCTACAAAGGTCAAAAGCAAAGCAGAGGAGGT